TATTTTGGACATGTTATCAGGAGGGACCTGTCCCTGGAAGGACATCATACTTGGTAAAGTAGAGGGTCAGCAAAAAAGAAGACTCTCGATATGATGGACTGACACAGTGGCTGCAACAATGCGCTCAAATATAGCAATGATCATGAGGATGGTGCAGGACCAGGCAGTGTTTCATTCTACTGTACATGGGGTCGCTGTGAGTTGGAACCAACTCAACAGCACCTAACAACATAACAGGTAGGTAGACAGATATACATGTGTGTATAGATTAGTATACATACATATATTTCCTAGCTCTGTCTACTGAGAGAGCCTAGCTCTGTCTAGTGATACTCCAATAGTTATTGTGTGCTTAGACGTATCTCCTTTGAGTACAAATCAGAATTTTGATTGATTTTGGAGTATTTCTCTTATATTCTTAGAACACCTTTCCTAATCTTGGAGAGAAAAATTAGTCTAACCATATTAAAATAACTTTTTTTTTCTTAAACATAATTAGATATCAGTGTTACTTTTTCTTCTAAATGCAACAGAGGGCTCTGAGACTGGACCCCTTTTTATGAAATCTTATTGACTCGAAGTGGTGACAAATCCCTGTTTTGAATGATAGCAGATTTGATTTATCTTTAGGAAAAGATCGCTCTTTAAAAAATAACTTCAGAAGACTATTTGATTACCCAAAGTTATTTTTGTGATATGTCAGAGAAAACTGCACATGACTATACTAGTTGGATGATCCATGACATTCAAACACAACCAAACAACTCTGGTTCCTTTATCCTTGTACTTTATACCCACATGGTATTCAATTATATGTGTTTCTTTTAAACAAGGTATACTTTCCCAATTTTAGGCGTCAGCAGCATCAAACTATAAGACAACCAGTTGTTATCATCTGGAACTTATCACTGCACACCTGGGCAAGTGCAAGTGTCTCCTAATTGGTTTATCTAACTCTAATGTCTCCCAACTCTGATTGTATTGTCAGTTTAATTTTCCTTAGCCATTCCTTTTCTCTTGCAACTCCAACATTTAAACTATAAAGGTCTTTATTGCCTAAGAAATCAAGTAAAAACACTTAAAGATCCTCCATAAATCAGTCCTACCATATTTATTAAAATCAATTTCCTATTATTCTCTTCCCAATTAGATCTATTGTCTCAAATAAATTATAAGCTCCTTCAGTGTAAGACTATGTCCTCTAGCTCTTTTATATGCCCTCAAAATGCCATGAACCCTGTAGATACTTTAAAAACACTGATTTTATTTTACCTTACTTACTGATACATAGTAAGTCTGACTCCACTGGCATGCTAGGCATATTTCTGCTTAAAAATAAACCAAAAAGTCACCGTATTGTTTGAGGCTAAAACCAGTTTTGAATCTCTTAATAAACACCAAATAAACCAATTCCAACGTTTTTCTCCTTTTTCATATATGGTCAATGTCTTTATAATATCAAAAACTACAAATTAATTCAATTATAGGGTCAATCAAATTAAATATTTGATATGGAAACAAAAACTCTAACTTTTTAACTGAAATTTTCATCTTTCAACCAGTTGTTGAATGTTGTTGTTGTTGTTTGTTTTAACACAGTCTAAGGTTTTCTTAAATTCTGTCATGGATTGAATTATGTCCCCCCAAAAATGTGTGAATCAATTTGATTCCTGGTAGTGTGGGATTTTCCTATATGTTGTAAATCCTGCCTCTATGATGTTAATGAGAGAGGATGGATGGCAGTTGTGTTAGTGAGGCAGGACTCAATTTACAAGACTGGATTGTGTCCTGAGGCAATTTCTTGA